TTCAGTTCTACCATTTTCGGCAACTTTATCACTTGCGCCGGCCAAACGGAAAAGTACCATAACTTGTCCAGCAATGGGTTTACCATGAGAGAAAGAAAGAGAAAAAAAAAAAAAAAAAAAAATTTGCAACCGTCTACCAAAGTAGCACTGTATAATTAAGCTACATTGTTAGTTCGATAGCAGAGAACATGAATAAGAACAAATATTGACAAAATAAAAAAACTATACCTCAAATATGCTCTATTTACTAGGAAAAGTAAAATATTAATAGAAACAAAAACTACAAATTGTAGTCATTTTTTGTTTGATTCTATTTTGGGTCTATTCCAAAGGATATAAATATGGAAACATTCTGTCGAATTATGACTGAAATAACATTTAAATAATAACTTTTACATTTAAAATAAATGTACTGAAAAGAAAAATCCAAATGCATGCTTCCACAGTCAAGATAAATGATAAAATTATTTACAAAATTAAATACATGTATTACGAAAAAATATGCTTAATAAAGTTTTCATACAAAACATAAATCACTACATAAATTACATACCATTTGCTCTCTGAGTCTTTTTGTATAAATTCTTTTCAAAAGCTTTTTGCTCCTTAGCAGTAGGGAATGTTTTACCATAATACTGTAAAGGAGGAGGGGAAAATAAACATTTTGAGAATATTCTGGTCGAATAAATATAAAATATAATAGAAAATGTTTAATTCTGTCATGATCTACATTTAAGTAAAAATTATCTCAAAAAAACCTTTAGGCTACCATTTTTATATCAAAACAATTTTTTTTAAAGCGACTGTGGCTAGTTTTTCTTTGTAAGTAACTGAATCTGTCAACAATACCTGAATTAAAAATAACTTTTGATTAAGTATTGATTCAGCTTGAAAATCACTATCAACATATATTTTACAAAATTTTCGAATTTCCACAATGCATTCAGTACATTTTAGGTTGTTTATCTCAAAAAGCAAGTGTAAGAGATCACAAAGGAGCATTAAAATGCATGCTTGTATTAGTCACATAAAGAAAGGCAGATTGTTAAAGGTTTCAGCTCAAATAAAATATTCAGTTTAATATTAAATAATTATTATTCAAATACAGTCAAAAGTCGTTAATCCGGACTCGTCGGGACTTCGGCGATTCCGGATTATCGATTTTTCCGGATTATAGATCATCAGTTTAAATCTGGTAAGATGGCATGCAGAAATTACAAATTAAAATATGAAACCTAATTTATGAAATAAAGAATTATGATCTAAAGGGTATCAAAATTTACAAAAAGGAAAAGCCTAATATTTATTTGTTTACTTTATTAAACATTTCCTTCAATGTAAGTTGCTTCGTTTCATGTGATAATACTTTCTCTTTAATTCTTTTAAACCGACATAAGGTTTGTTAGTACAAAGTTCCGTGTTCAAGCCTATAATTCTGTGTTGAGAATACCGACTAATTTGTCATCGAAAGGTTTCGTTTTCAAAACCTCTGGGGCACTTTCTTCACTATCAGAAGCGAATTATAATGACGAGGACTTGATTTAAATCATCCGAGATTAAATACTACACTAGTACGGAATTATAAACCAAATAAAATACAAACATCTGCCCTGAAGATAAGGCTAGTGCTGACAGATCACCTCCTCAAATCTGTTTATCAATCGTGAAATTGATAAACAGATTTCGGATTCAAAACATACTTTCGCTTTGTAGATACAAATACATATTAGTAAATATAGATCGGAAATTCTATTTGACATAATCTTTCTAATCTATCATAATCTAATAATGACGGTCTGCCCCTCCCTCTGCCGCAGAGCAGCGTGAAATTGATAAACGATTCGGATTTCAAAACATACTTTCGCTTTGTAGTAAATATATCGGAAATTCTATTTAACATAATCGAAAGTTCAAGCTTACTTTTAAAATTGCTCTAACAGTCTGCCAAAAAATAATAAGCCGGATTCAATTCGAAGATTAAGGAACAACGCAATCTGCAACATTAATTGAATTAGATAACTTTAGCTTAGCGTATAACTCCGTTACACATTAAACGCGCATGCGCACAAACATATTCGCAGCCGTAAGGGTCTTACGCGCTCTCGTAAACGCCTGTGCGCATGCGTGAACGCGACGCATGCGCAGAAAGTTTGTAGTTTTGAGGTCCGGATTATAGATCATTCCGGATTATGGGTGTCCGAATTAACGACTTTTGACTGTATCATAAATAAATACATTTGGTATTTCACAATACACTTATAAATGCACTTTTTAATTTTCTACAATACAATGCAATGAAACAGTACTGACAAGGAAAAGCACCATGTTGCCAAAATGTATTTATTTATAAAGCAACCCATGGCATAGCAAGAATTTGTCAATCGAAATGTTTTCGTTTTCAATAACCTCTGGGGCACTTTCTTCACTATCGGAAGCGAATTATAATGACGAGGAACTTGATTTAAATCATATCCGAGATTAAATACTACACTTAGTACGGAATTATAAACCAAATAAAATACAAACATCTGCCCTGAAGATAAGGATAGTGCTGACAGATCACCTTCCAATCTGCGGCGTGAAATTGATAAACAGATTTCGGATTTCAAAACATACTTTCGCTTTTGAAAAAATAAGCAATTATGATTTCTTCTATTTTCAGCAACAGAATGGATTAGCTACATGGAATTTTTTTACTTTTCTCCATATGTTAAATGTGAGTAGGTTTTCTTAGAAAGCTTTCCAAAAATTAAATATCTTGGCAGTGCTTTCATAAAATTAATAAACCTAAATTCAGGGCCAACCGCAATATATTTGGAGCTTTCCCCAAATCAATGACAACCTATGATGTAGCCAGAAAGTATTTATACTTGTATGATAATCTAGTTACTTGCATAGATAGATAGATCCCCCCTCAGATAGATTTCACCAGTGGGACTGCAGATTATTATCCCTCCAACAGGAACTAAACACTTTAGTATAGAGGTGCACATACTGCAGTTCTCATTATCTCTTACAGAATCTTGGATTTAGCATGCTGCATGCATACAGCATAAAAGCAGAAAGCTAACACTAAATGACATCATGCTCTTTTTTTTTCTCATTTAAGGATTTTCGTACCAAGGTTGTATGCGATACCGAGTTTATGCAATTCTATGATTTTTTTTTTTTACGTACTTTCTGATTATGCAAATTTCCACTGAAAAGCCATAAAAAGTATTGATGAGGCAGCACACCATGTTATTAAAAAGTAAGCAAACAATCTTAATGTTTTATTTATTTCTTTTCAGGTTAAAATTCATATGGTCTTAATGAACAATTATTTTGGCCTGTGATAGGAAAAAAAAAGGCATTGAAATTTCCTTTTAAAATATCAGGAGTTTCGAAAAAACTTCCGTAATTTATAAATGGGAAAACACAGTATTCGGCCAAATTTTACACGAGTGAAAAAATAAGCAATTATGATTTCTTCTATTTTCAGCAACAGAATGGATTAGCTACATGGAATTTTTTTACTTTTCTCCATATGTTAAATGTGAGTAGGTTTTCTTAGAAAGCTTTCCAAAAATTAAATATCTTGGCAGTGCTTTCATAAAATTAATAAACCTAAATTCAGGGCCAACCGCAATATATTTGGAGCTTTCCCCAAATCAAAAGTAGTGACAAGACAGAACATTGTGCAAAAAATACTTTTTGATGTTTTAAAAATATCTTGATTATTTATACGAAGCAAACTCTGAATTAATTTTACTTGGATTTGCAAACAATTTTATGCTAAAATAAAACTTTCGAGACAGTCTCCTTTTACTCTGGGAGTGAAAGCTTCCTGGAGACTGCCAATTCATGAATAAAAAGTTTCTTTCTTTGCCAGCTCCAAGCCTAATCATTCACAGAAGGGCTGAACATATGGGCAAAAATATCTCTTATATGTGTTAATACCTCAGCAAAGAGCAATTGCATTGAATGGAAGAGAATACGTTTGTTTATTTGTAGACAACTTTTTTCTTCAAAATTCAAGGGAATTATTTTATATTTTCAACTGATTGAAGCATTTGGAAATTAAGCAGGAAGCAATTAAGTCATGAGTGAATTAGTCATTCAGAAGTATTTAGTCATTAGTGAACTTTAAATTTTGTTAATTTGATTATGGCAAAACACTTAAGGCCTATCTGTCTAGTCACAGGCACCTTCGTGGAGGACTTTCTAAGGAAAACTGTCCGATATCCATGTTATAACATGGGAAAAGTCACAAAAATGTCCCTGCATCCAGCCTGTTTGCTTTGAACCAAACTACCAATGTTTAATGACTTTACCATTTGGCCTTTGTCTAGCCAAATGTGTTTTAAGAATAGTTTGCTTTCCTCAAAAGAACTGAAACAGAAGAAATCAAATAATAATGTAACTGTAATATAAGAAAGTTCTGATTCATTTAATTCTCTCAGATAATTTATTCTGAAAATATCAAATTTCTAATATATAATTCTGACAACTGTATCTTTCTACATATCGCAAGTTCTTAAACTTGCATACACAATCCGAGATCCGGATTTCCAATATCTGGAATAATCTAAAATACAGACCTTAAAGCCACATACATAAAATTATTTTTAGGATATTTTTTTATGCTTTACGCATGCGCATTTGATTTTTTAACCCTGTAATAAAATATGTGGAGAATCCTAATTTTTAATTTCACTTCGATACTAAATAAAATACCTCGTTATTGAATAAACAATAATTTTAGCATAAATTTGTGTGATCAATAATTTGACTCTGTAAATGTGTATGTGCTTCGCATACATCTCAAACCGAAACATTCTACACTGAAACATCGTTGATTTTATAACTACTAATATTTTATACCCCTGATGCCAACCTGGCAAATCACTAATTATTGTATTTTTATTTCATCACTGCCTGTTTATCAACACATGACATTTTGAGTAATGACTCATTCAGCAATTCCTAAACAATTTTTATCATATTAGTAATTGAATAACAAAGAGTACAGACACCTTTTATGTTGATATTATACTTGGCGATGATTACAGATTTAAGTTAAATGTACTAAATGTTGACGAGGAAACATTTAACAAAAATTTCTTTCCATATGCTAAAAAACATATTTTGTTAATGATACTCACAAACCAAAAGATTACATTTAGTGCTATTTGAATTAAGAACAACTGATTTTTTATTTACATAAGCCCAGAACCTGCACCAGAGCTCGTATGGCCGCACCGGGTGGCAGAATTTAGGGAAGACAAAATTTTTGGAATTTAGAGAAGCACCAAGTAACAAAATTAAGAGGTGATAAAATTTTTAGAATTTAGGGTAAGCACTAGGACCCAAAATTAAGGGGCAGCAAAAATTTAGAACTTAGTGCTTGGTACCAGAATTTAGAACCCGCAGAGACTACATCCAGCAGCAAACTATCTAGTGCCAGCCCTCAGTAAGCTTAAGTATATGTAGGAATTTATTCATTCATGCCTTAAGCATGTGCAATAAAACAGATGTATAACCAAATTAATAGAATTCAAGTTTAATTTTCTTCAGTGCACGATAAAAGCAAGACAAAATTTTATGGAACAACTTGCCTTTCATCGCCAATCTCAAGCTACATAGCCAATAATGT